AAACCAAAAATCTTTGTTAGTAATCACTGTCATCTGACATATGTATCAGTATCATTTGAAGAAAACGGAAGTGTCACATGTGCACTCTATAGGTAAGGATTAGGTAAAGCAGGTTTATGGAGCATTCTAGTACTTCTAGGCTTCTATTCTAAAATGAGTGTTACAGAGGCCATGGGTGACAAGAATTTAAAATTTCCGAACCACTACAAATTTGGAAATTTGAACATTCATAAACTGTAGTAATATGTAAGAGTGATAATTTGCCATTGCTAAGCAACTCTATAATATCTCAGTGAAGTTAGAAGCTGAAGCACGTATTCAGTGACTTCCACAAGTGACCACATGGCTTAGTCAAGGATTTTTTTTTAAGATAAGGTCTTGCTATGTAGTTCAGGCTGGCCTTGAGCTCACTCTGTAGTCCAGGTTGGTCTCAAATTAGAAGTGATCCTCCTAGCTCAGTCTCCAGAGGGCTAGGATTACAGGCATGTGCCACCACACCCAGAATGAGCCACGTGTTTATAATCCTAGGTATTTTATGATGCCTTTCTAAAATCAAGTTTTTATTAATTCTACATTTATTGAACACCTACTCTGCTCTAGGCAGTGTGCTAGTCTTTCAGGACACAGCAGTGAACAAACCTTCATGGGATTTCTAGTATACTTTTTTCACATGCAACTAGTTAAATGCTCTGAAATCACAAAAAGATTAATTCCGTGAAGAAGGTAAACATCAAAGAAGGCACTTCACTTAGAAAGGGCATTTTCTCTGAGTCTCAAAGATTGGATATTTTAGGTAGTATTTTTTCTGGTTCATTCAGTGTTTGCTCAGAATCCTGCTTCATCAAGTAGTTCTTCACTGTATCTTTTTTGTTGGTTTTTTAAATGTATTTAGTACAGGGTCTTCAGGGTCTCAGTACACAGGTCAGACTCGTAGTGATCTTCCTGTATTCAGCCCCCCAAACGCTGGAATTATAGGCGTGCACCATCATGCCAGTCTTTGTTCTATACCTTTTTATGTGCTCTTTTCATGTTAGTGATTTTTCAATTTTTAAAACAGTTTATTACAGAAGGACCAACCAAACAGCTCAGTGGATTAAAGCACCTGCAAGCAGGCAGTGAAGCCTGGAGTTTGATCACCGGGCCTGCCATGCCGACCCCGCCCCCAAGGCATGCTGAGATGGCAATTGAGACTGTGCATGGTGGTGCACGCCTGTAATCCCAGCTCTTAGGAAGCTGTAAACAAGAAAATCACTAGGAGTTCAATCTAATAGTGAGACCTTGAACACCCTGTAGACTCTTCCCTAAAATACAAAAAAAGTTTATTACATATTTATACTACTATTAAAGTAGAAAATAGAGAAACATAGCAAAATATTTTTATTTATGTAGCAAAGTGTTTACATTCTTTTTTTACAATCAAATTTATTTCTAACAAATAACTCATTTATACTTATAAATACAGACACACTTTTTGTGTTGCAAGACCAATACTGAAACAAACCAGTTGCTTGAAATATGTACACTCCTTAAGTCCTGCTCCAGTTTTTAAAAACTTGCTCTCTCAATCATAGAACTCTGTACCCATTTATTTTTAAAGTTTCATAGAAACATATAAGGAAGAGGAAAGCTTATATCACAAAATTGTGCAGAACAATTTTTCCTAAGTCATTGTGCAGGTGTAACTACCACAAATATCAAGAAATCAAGCTTGAACCTGAGGTCTGGCACATCCTGAGTAAGTACTGCACCACTGAGCCACATTCCTAGTCCAAAAGAGCTCAGGACCTTGCACTTGCTGGGCAGGAGTTTAAGCCACTGAGCTATCTCCCCAGCTCCCAAAAGATTTGTAAAACTGAGGTAAAACCCAATTTTGCATGCTTATATGCAAAATCTAAACACCTGTTTTTGCATACAACATTATGCAGTATAACAACCATTGTCAAATTCCTATTTTGTTTAGTGCAGTTCTGTATCATTTCTAACGGTTTTTGTTTGTTTTATTATTTTGTATTCTCTTTATAAAACCTGAGGTAAAACCTTGTCACATAATATATTTTGATGTCTTTCTTTGCTTTTTATTTCTGTACATGCTATTTTGTCTTATTGTATATATTTTAGGTCTAGAATGGGATGTTTTGATATATGTATACATTGTGAAATGATTACTGTACGCAAGCTAATTGGCATATTCATACCCTCACATAGTTACCATTTTATGTTTACTATAAAGATTGTTAAGATCTACTCTTCTAGAAAAATACAGTTATTCAATACTTTGTCATCAATACATTTTTTTATTTTTATAGTGACTATGCTATATACTTGATCTCTCAAATTTATTCATCTTAACTAAAAGTCCATTCCCATTACTGCAAAAAAAATTAAAAATAAATAAATAAAAGTTCACACTCTTTGACCAAAAATCTTCCATTTTCTTTGAGCTCCAGCTTGAGGAAATTACTTTGTTGCTATTTGTGTGTTTAATATTTCACATATAAATAAGATAATACAGTATTTATCTCTCTGAGTCTGTCTCACTTCACTTAGTATAATGTTCTCTAAATTCATTCATGTTATTACAAATGGCATGATTTATTTCATTTTGTGACCAAATAACATGCAATTGTATGGGGTAGAGAGAGAGGGAGAGAGGGAGAGGGAGAGGGAGAGAGAGAGAGAGAGAGAGAGAGAGAGAGAGAGAGAGAGAGATTTCACTCATGTTTTCTTTATCCATTCATCCATCAGTGGATGTTTAGGCTGTTTTCATGAACATGAGAGTACACATATCTCTCTCACATACTTGTTTCTTTTCTTTTTTGTGGTACTGGGGATTGAACTCAGGACATTGTGCTTGCCAGGCAGGCGCTTATTCTACTGAACTATCTCCCTGACCCTCACATATTTATTTCATTTCCTTTGGATATTTGCCCAGAAGTGGATTGCTAGATCATGTGGTAGCTCTACTTTTGTCTTTGGATGAACCTTGATACTATTTTCTCTAATGGCTTGTATCAGTTTGCATTCTTAACAACAGTATAGCTTTTCTTCACAGCCTCTCCAAACTTACCTTTTAAAAAATTTTACTATAACCACCTTAACAAGTTTGAGGCAATACAGTAAGTCCCTGACTTTTGAACATTTGAGTTGCAGACTTTCACAAATATGAACAGACCTCCCATTTAAGATATTCGTAGAGATGAACAAGTCATGGAAGTAGCTCATGTGCCTGCTGGACATTATCACAGATGTGCTGCTGTGTGCTTACTGTACAGTGTGATGGTATACAGTAGCACAGTGCTTCATTAGAGCACAGGACATCTGAAAGCAAGAGAAAAAAACAGTGGCGAAATGGAGGGGACTGCTGGAAAGTGAAAAGCAGTACACTCCTGGAATAGAACTCATTTATAACTTGGAGACTTACTGTGTCTCATTGTGATTATTTTTGGTAGTGCTAGATATCAAACTTAGGGGCTCCCACATGATAATCAAACACCCTGATAAAAATCATGTTGAATATCCTTTCATATATGTTTCCCATTTATATTCTCTATTGGGGGAAATGTCTATTCAGGTGCATTGTATTTGTTTACAAAGCTGCAATCATATATGAATTTACCCTTCTTTTTTGTCTTCTTGAGACAGGGTCTCACTATGTAGTTCAGGCTGGCCTTGAGCTCACTTTGTAGCCCAGGGTGGTCTTGAACTCACAAAGATTCTCCTGCCTCAGCCTGCCAAATGCTGAGATTATAGGCTTGTGTAACTATGTCTGGAGAATTTCCTCTTAAATGAACCTCTCAAATCCCACTTATCACTGCTCTGGACCTCTGCGTCTGAATAAAGGGTTCACTACTCATACTAACAGATTACCTGTTTTTTCTGTCCCTTCTTTTGTTTTTACAGCTGTGCTAATGATCTTTTCATTGATATCTGTCACCTACGGGGCTACCCTCTGCAATATGTTGGCGATCCAGATCAAGTACGATGACTATAAGATCCGCCTTGGTCCGCTAGAAGTCCTTTGCATCACCATCTGGAGGACACTGGAGATTACTTCTCGCCTCATGATTCTGGTGCTCTTCTCAGCCACCTTGAAGTTGAAAGCTGTGCCCTTCTTAGTGCTCAACTTCCTGATCATTTTCTTTGAGCCTTGGGTTAAGTTCTGGAGAAGTGGTGCCCAGATGCCTGATAATATTGAGAAAAATTTCAGCCGGGTTGGCACTTTGGTGGTGCTGATTTCAGTCACCATCCTCTATGCTGGCATCAATTTCTCTTGCTGGTCAGCACTGCAGTTGAGGTTAGCAGATAGTGATCTTGTTGACAAAGGTCAGAACTGGGGACATATGGGTCTACACTATAGTGTGAGGCTGGTAGAAAATGTGATAATGGTCTTGGTTTTCAAGTTCTTTGGAGTTAAAGTGTTACTGAATTACTGTCATTCCCTCATTGCCTTGCAACTCATCATTGCATATCTGATTTCCATTGTCTTTATGCTCCTTTTCTTCCAGTATTTGCATCCATTGCGCTCATTGTTTACCCGTAATGTAGTGGACTATCTCCACTGTGTCTGCTGCCACCAGCACCAGCGGGGAAGGGCTGAGAACTCAGAGCCTCCTTTTGAGGCTGAAACAAGACAAAGCATTGTCTGATTCTGTCTCTTGGGTATTGTGGAATGGGTCAAGGGTTGCCAAGAGGAGTTATAAAGTGTAGGATGAGACTTGTGGGTGAATGATCAGCCTAACATTTTCTTGCAAGTCTGTTAGAAGAAAACGTGACCTCCAAGCAGGTTTAAGATTTATTGCTAGTCAGGCATGGTGGTGCACACATGTTTTCCCAGCTACTCAGGAGGCTCAGGCAAGAGGATCAAAGGGTTGAGGTTAGACCAAGAAATGTGATGATCAGTAAATAAATAAATAAATAAATAAAATAAGATGTGATATTGCTGAGTGGTATAGTGATTTCCTAGTATGCACAAGGCCCTGAGTTCAATGACTAGTACCACACAAATAGAAAAAAGTTTTACTGCAATATTTAGACACAAGATATGTTGGTTACTCTTCTTGTTGCTGAGCCAAAATACCTGAAACCCAAAGTTCAAGAGGGCAAGTTTTATTTATCTTATAGTTTGTGGAGGTTTCAATCCATCATTTGATGGTTCCAAGACAGGGTGGCACATGGCAGAGGGGCAACAGTTCATGGTTACAGAAGATAGCAAAAGCAACAAGCGAGACAGCAAGACAAGTCTCTCTATGTCCCTTATATTGTTTTCAGACTACTGCATTTAGGGCAGTGCTAGTCCAATCAGTGGACTGATGTAACAATAATCCTCTCTTAACCCCAGCACTTGTGATCCTAGCTTCCACTACAAATCAATCACATGCTCTCGACTCAGCCACCTCAAAAAAAAAAAAAAAAACCCTATGACTTTCCAGATCTGCCCATTGGTGTATACTATTACTGAGCTTTTCCTTTGCTAAGTTGGAGGCTTAGAATCTCCTGACTAATCAGTAAATGCAACAACTTGCTAACCATGGATACCTCCCAGGAAACAATCTGACAATTGTGGAATCTGTGTGCTTGGAATGTTAATTTGAGTGAGAAGCTCTGGCTTGAAAGAAAACCTGCACTGTTAAAAAAAAAAAGCTGTTCCCCAAATGGGTCAGCTCTCTTAGAATTTTACTACTGGTCACTAATCAAGGAGGATGTGCAGAGTAGAGTTTCTTCAGAGTGTAAGCCAGAAAGACTCTTTTCTTAGGAACCTACAGGAGCCAGCAGCTTATCAAATGGAACTGCTGTGTGAAATTTTGCACTGCTTCATTTATACGGATTCCCTCCAACTCTGCTTTTCTCTGCTCTTGCTATTTATTGTGAACCTCAGGGAAGCTGTACTCTAAGTGAAAATATTTCTGGAGAGTGTGTGTGTGTGTGTGTGTGTGTGTGTGTGTGTGTAATGAAGACTGCTTTGTGTCTGCTATAGTCTTGAGTATTTCATTGCTTTTTTAGGGACGAGAGAAAGTAGCAATCACTGGGATGTCACCTTCATGTTGCTTGAGGTTAAAATGAGTGGCTAACACTTCCAAAGTAAAGTGAAACTTCTGAGAATGTAGACCACGTGAAATATCATCTGTACTGGTTTCTGCCTGTAGTCTCTCTTTCTCATGTATCTCTATGTCAGTTGGATATTTGGGTGGATATCTCATGTCAGTTGGATATTTGGGTGGACTTGTCAGCTCAGTGCCTCTACAGTAAGCAAGAAATTAAGGTTACTATGACTGCTGCTGATTGGGATCAAGTATCTCAGCATTTGCCTAATGCTTGTCTCTCTCAGACCAAAAAGATGAGAAGAACTAGTAGTGTGTACCAGTTGTGGCCACCACAGTGCTTCATAAAATTGTGAACAATGTAACTTTGGGCTTTCCAACCCCAACCATTTTACTCTTTCAATCATGCTAAGAGTTTATGTTTAGTCATTTCCCCCCTCCACTATACAGTATCAGGACATTATGTCAAGAGGGACCTTTTTATTGTAAGCAATAGGGCTGTTAACCAGAATTATCCTATCACTTGGTATGGCTAGTTGGTTTCCCCAACTTCCATTGCTCTTTGGAGCTAAAAGAATTGGTCAATTAATTTAGGGGAGAATGTAGTGTCTTCCTTTGTGCTATGGTTTAGATCTAATATGCTCCTCTCCCAACCTCCTGAATGGTGATGGGCTGTGCCTAGAAGGGCCAGGTCCCTAGGGATGTGGCATGGGAGGGTATGTTCTCAGCCCTGGCTCCTCCCTTCTGCCTCTGCTTCCTGGCCAACACGATGTGAACAGCTTCCTTTGCCGTGCCTCTCCTTCAGGTCACTTTTACCTAGGAGTTTATAGGTTACAGACTGAAACTTCTGAAACAGATAGGCCAAACTAACCTCTCCTCATTTAAAATGTGGGTTTCAAGAATACTGTTCTAGTGACAGGAAAGTGACTAATGCATTTTGCAACAATGGAGAGATTTTTTCACAATCTGAACTTTTTTATTCCATTTTTCATAATGAAGAAATGACTTAGGTTTGTTATATAAAGTTCACACTGACTCTGTCACTCAAGGTAAACTTGAAAGTAATACTCTGTCAGACCTCCAGAAGAACACATTGTCTCTTTGGAACTCAAGGAAAGAATTTCTTCCCAATGATAAACATGTCCTTAATTAAGAGCCAGAGCAGCATAGAACAGTAATTTGGTCTATAAAAGTCACATGAAACAGCTACTTAGGAGGATACTATAGAAACACACACAGAGTCAGGCAGACTAATTAGAGCTAGAATGGAGATGTACATGGTGGAAAGGTGTGATTCAGTGCTGGACCACGCAAAAATTATACCTCAAGTGTCTTCTCAGCCTTGATGACTTAATATCCTAGGAATGCATAGAACTTAGATGGAAGGGTGTGAGGTAGCTTCCAACCTGAAAAACCTGCCTCCCTCACCCAAGGAGAAGATATTCTCTTGGAACATTATGCAAATGAACTCACAGTACCTCCTTTAGATGGTGACCTTTGTATTCCATAGCAGTTTTCCAGATACACCCCAGCAGTCTTTTGGTGATGGGCAAGGCAGGTACCGTCTTCTCTTTTTATCTTTTGAAGTCCTAAAGCAACACAGGGCATGAGGGAGAGATAAGCCTTGTTGAGTGGAAAGAAGGTAAAGATGGAGCCAGGAGATGGTTTCTGGTAAAGTAAGGCACAATTATCAAGTTTGGGGAAAAGAACTAGGCCACTGCAACAATGGTTATTCTCATATTACTGAGAATTTGGTAGGCCAAGTATATGCAAATTAATGTGTTAGAAAAATGGTTATGCTTTTCTGCTGGATGGTTAAAACCAAGTTAAAGCAAGACCTATATAACTAAAAATGTAACTTTTGTCGCTGACAAGAGCAGTCAAATCTCCTCAGGATTTATGCTGGAACCATCTACAACACTTTGTAGATCTTTTGTCAGTGTCAGCCATCTGGATGAGTCACGATCATTTCTTGACCAGTTTGTTCTCTGTGAAAGCCTGAGAGACATTTTTCTCTCTAGGTGACTCTCTTTAGGCACACTATACACTACGAAGACAACAATATGCATTGTATTAATTATTGTAAACATCCTACTAACCTGTTTTGAAACTGTTTCATTATTTTATCTTTTTTCTCATTAAAATGAATAAAAATTATTTAAAACAGAAAAATGGAATCATAGTAAATAAATTAATAGTTATCAATTTCATTTATTTCTTGAATACTTTAAAGACCATAGGTTCAGAATTGTGAGGCACTGTGGGAGAATTCTCACAGTCACTCTGATCAAATAAGTATTTTTATTAGCCCCCACTTACATATTCTAAGGCATAGGGAGGTTAAGTGACCTTCCCAAGGATAGAATATCAGAGTTGGCATTAGGTCTTAGGCACACAGATGCCACAGTTTATAGACACTTAATCACTACCCAAGCCTATATATCCTTTCTGGTCATTGTGAAATTATTTTACTTTTAGTAGTTTTAGAAATATTTTCTCAAATATTCTGTTTGTGTCAAACATTATTTCCCAGCCAGGGGAGATGGCTCAGTAGAATAAGTGCTTCCCTGGCAAGCACAAGGGTCTGAGTTCAATCCCCAGTTCTGCAAAAAATAAAAAATAAATAAATAAATAAATAAATAATTCCCACAAACACTTCTGTTTTGGTACTGAGGATTGAACTGAGAGCTGTAGTTGGTGTGGAGCTATATCCCCAGTCCTTTATACATTTTTAAAAATTTTGAGACAGTTTTTTTTTTCTTTTGAGACATAGTCTCACTATGCAATTAGAGGGCTGGGCTTGAACCCACTGTGTAGCCCAGGCTGGCCTCAGACTTGTTCTGATCCTCCTGCCTCACCCTTCCAAGAGCTGGAATTACAGGTGTGCACTGCTATGCCCAGCTAAGATAGAGTTTTGCTCACTCACTAAGTTACTCAGGCTGCATTTGATCTTGCAGTCCTCCTGCCTTAGCCTCCCTGAGTGCTGGAATCACATATATGCTTAACCACTCCCAATTTTGCAATCACTTCTTACCAAAGGACACCACTTAATTCCTCTAAAGAGAGAAGGGTTAAGTTCTGAAATAACTGGGATGAAAACCAAGTTTGTGTTTGCATACACTTATAGATTGCTATCAGCAAGAGGAGTAAGAGGACAGATGGCAAAAGGATCCAGTTTCTAGTTTCAGAACTTTGTCTCGTGTATATTTTTAAATATTTACCTTCCAAACCCTGGTTGTGGAAAGGAAAATGGGGGAGCAATAAGCACTCAGGCATTTATGATCCCTAACTCCAGAAACAAGCAGTCAAAGAGGTTCTAAAGTCCATTCTTAGACACTTTCTTTGTGTGCAGTGCACTTTCTGCTTCTGAGAAGTTGACTCCAAATTCTAGTGGAAATGGATGGTGGAGATTAATGGTCATCCCTTTGCTGCCATAGTCCTCAGCGCCTAAGCAAACTTTCAGTACCCTTTTTGCTAGTACCTTCACACTTGTACCTCATAAGGGTTTGGTTCTTGTTATTCCATAGTTTATTGCCTCTTCTTGGAGTTGGCACATAGAAGTGGGTATTCACCAGGATGTTTCATCTCAGACCTTGGATCACTGTCTTTTAAAACTCTTTTAGTAAAAAATTAGTTGACAGTGAAATTTCCAAAATACCTATTAAAAATAATCCCCATTCTCTGAAGCTTTTGCTATTGTGTTTTCCTACTGTCTTTAGGGAGTACATATGCTCATAATCTTATTCCTTAATATGAA